ACTGGAGGTTGGAGATCTGGTTAATCCTTTGCTTTCCCTATCAGGGAACTTTCTCTAGACAGGCGACTTTGAGATGCACCTTTTTCTGGGAACATAGGCAGATGACACCGGTGTTCCTTACTCAAATGACCAGAATCCTGCACTTGGGCTTCATACTTAAGCAAAATTTTGAACAAAAAAACTTTCCTTCTTCCTATTATTAGTGCAAAATTTACCCTTGATTTCTTTCTTCTTAAGAAACCTGTAAGATGCAGGAAATTGTGAGGAATTTGAGGATCTTACAATCAATATTACTTATTATTGTCCAGCAGGTAAAGCAACAAAGCCAGAGGTCTAATTGCAAGTGGCTCTTGATCTAAAACCTAATTGCTTCCTGGAGATCCAAAACAAACATTGTAAGTCAAACTCTCATTTTCTGCAAGCACTATCTTGTAGATTCTATTCCTTGTCTTGGAATCTAATCTCATACTGTAGAAATATCCAGAATAATAACCCCCAAAAAAGAAAAAAACAAAAAAAAAAGGCAGATATATATTTTTCCAAACATGTATAGAATGAAATGTAATAGAAAAACAATGTTACACTGGGGGAATTCCTTGTGTTTGGAACTAAAATAGACTGGCTGAAATTTCATAAAATGTGGCTTTTATGAAGCTTAGAATAAAGGTATCTTCAGTGTCAAATCTCTATAAAAGTGACTCTTGACTCAGGGCAATTTTGCTCTCCATCCAGGATATTTGGGAGTAACATTTTTGATTGTTATAACTTGTTGAGGGTGGTGAAGTCTTACTGCAGTTCAGCAGATTGAAGCTAGAGATACTGTTAAATGTTCTGCAGTGTGCAAGATGGTTTCCCACAACAAGAATATCTGACAAAAATGTCAGTAATGTGCTGTATTGAAAACTTGCTCCAAGGTAAGTGTGGACATTTTAAACTGAGTTAAAATTCAGGTCATTTTTGGGAAAAACAGGGATGGTGTCTGTGTGTGAAGGGGTTGATGGGGAGGGTTGCAAACTAAATTTGAACGATTATTTCTGCAAGTCTTTAAATAGTGTGTGATGAAAATTTGGGGTGGGGTTGGAGAGTGGTTAGTTTCACACTGACTTCTTGAATGAGCCTTGTTTTTCTTTGCCAACAGTTCTACTGAGTTGCCCTTAAGAGCAACCTAGGTTGTCATTGCTGCCAATTGTTTCAGTGTGGCTATGCCTACAAATATGAGTTTTGATTATTTTTCTGTGAGTTTTATTTACAGGCGAAAAAGTCATAAAATATGAGCACATGGATCACAAATCAAGCCTGGCATTGCCTGCATGCTGACATAATATATACATCGCTTCCTAGTTCTCGCTGTTTTTCTTGGATCTTTAAATTTCCTGTACAGCTAGCATATTGAATTTTCACAATTGCTACTGCATTTCTTGATTGTTTCTGAGAAACATCTATAAGAGCTTACTGTTGTCAAGAAGGGCAGACCCAAATCTCTCTCTCTCTCTCTCTCTCTTTCTCTCTGTCTCTCTCTCTCTCTCTCTCTCTCTCCCTGTCTCTGTCTCTGTCTGTCTGTCTGTCTCTCTCTCTCTCTCTCACACACACACACACACACACCATGAACGAATGTTTAGTAGCAAACTCTGATGATAATAATGTTTACCTAAAGCACTAAAAAGCATTATTATCAAAAAGTGCTGCCACCTTTCGGGACAGCACCACCCCTGGAGGATTCCATGGAATCTGTTCTTTGAGAAAGTTCTGTTAGCGTTTGGATTCCAGAAACTCCTTAATTGCCACTTTTCTTAGTGGAATGTGCCTGAGTTTAAAGAAGAAATCTCAAAATTGAAATGACAGCCCTCATCCTAACTAACTGATGTCTTTCCCTGTACATCTATTTCCAGTTCCTTATGTACACATAAACATAAGTCTGACATTTTTCTCTATTCTATTTTGAAAGCCTTTGAAGTGAAGGGCCTTCCTCACATACACTGTGCATGTAGATTATCTGGATTGGAATGTAGGGAGCGTGGTGAAAATGGGTGGTCAAGGGATGAGGCAAAGAGAGAATAAATGCTAAATCTTGGTCCTAGAGAGTGAAGTCCCCATCAGTAGGAGGGTCTACAGGAAAGGAGCCATTTCTGCTTGGTTTACAGCCCTGTGCCAGTGTGATGGTTGATTTTATGTGTCAACCTGCCTCCCCCATTTCGTGTCCAGATGAAGCACCATCGCTCTGTGCATGTCTGTCAGGGTGACACTGGCAAGACCAGGGCTGGACCTGCCGGACTGAAGAAAGGAGATTGCACTGACTCTGCCGAATACGTGAATAGGACAAAAGAGTTGAGGACAGTGGAATCTGCCACTTATTTTTTCTGCTACTATTGAGCTGAGACATTTTCCTTCTGTGTTTGGACTTGGATTCACAGCATCAGCTCCCATAATTCTCATGCCTTTGGATTTGGCCAGAATTGTATCACTTTCTTGGGCCTCTGGTTTGCAGGTGGCAGATTTTGGGATTTCTCAGCTTTCATAACTATGCAAACCACTTCCTCACTGTCTGTCTCTATCTGTCTATCATCTATTTGTCTGTCTATAATCTATCTATCTATCTATCCCCTGTTGGTTCTGTTTCTCTGGAAAACTATAATGCAAACTATATAAAAACTACCAAGCAAAAGTCCTGGTGCAGAATATAGATTTAATAATTGTATGGTGAAGAAATAAGTGAGAGAATGAAAGAATATGTTTTCACTGGGAAAGGGGGGGGAGAGAGAGAGAGAGAGAGAAAGAGAGAGAGAGAGAAAGAGGAAATCCCTTCATCCCGTTGGGATGTCCTTTTATCCTTTAACCAGGCCAGCACTGTGTTTCTGGTCCACCATGGGCACTCACTGAGTGTGGACAGTTAGGTGAATGGAGAGGACCACGGTAGAATGTGGGGGCACATTGGAGTGTGAGGATACGTGTCCAGAGCACACCCTTGCTATAAGTCCCTGAGAACCTGGGCAATGGGGGTATATTGTATGCATCACATGAAAGGAAAGATGCAGGCCAAGAGGGTCCTGATTTGCGGTGATGTTTTATTGCTGACTAGCAAAGTGGCCACTATTGAGGCACAGGTCCTCAGGGCCACGGGGTGATTATGGGAGGGCGCACACCACTGGATAATTGCACTGATTACTAATGCTGCTAACATTTTTCTGGCCTAATAATCCACTTTTAATTTTACCCATGGCAGTTCTTAGTTCCCACAACACAGCAATAATTAAATCTGTGTTCAGATGGTTATAAATGCACCCAGAGGTCTTAAGCAATGGGTGAATTATACTCCTTTAAGTTAGAGTGTAATGTTAGCATTCAGCTATCTCAGAAAAAATACTAATTACTGAACTTCCTTCCAGTTCCCCTAGATCCCTTTAGCTTCCACTTGCATTTTCCAGATAACATGCAAGATGAGATTCAGGTGGCAGACTTTCTTCCCAGTCCTGTAATATCATTCGTCTGGTATTGTTATCCAAAGGTATAGGTGTCCAGGATGGCTTATTTAAAACACATTCAGGGGTGGTGGCTGTTTTGACAGAACTTTGCTGGTCTGGGACTCCAGGGACCTGTTTTTTTTAGGAAATGAGAAAAGAAAGAAGAAATGAAACACAGGGACAAGGCTAAGAAATTGTCTCTCATTTCATTCTTGTAGGACTCCTTCAGCAGTAGAAGTTCACAAGCCTGGAGAGGGGATTTTCTGCTTCTTACATGGCCCTAGGGGTGTGAAGAAGCCTGACAGTGTTCCCCCAAATTAGGAGGAAGGAAGTTTTGGTTATAGTTTTTATTTCCAGGGTTGAGATTCTATAACTCTTTTCAAGTATTCATTATTGTTCCGTTATAACAACGAAAATGAAGAAAGGCTCTTTTTCTTGGCCTTGGAATTCACAAATCTTGTTCTGTGCCCAGTGGACCAAGGGGAGCTGTGTTGTCTGTCACAGTCTCTTATACGACCCAAGGGCCTGGGAAACCACAAGAGCTAAACCACTCCTGGCCCTGATCCTGCCAGGGACACCACTTCCCGCTCTTTAACTCCTGTTTGTACTGTTCTCTCTCCACCTGTGACAATTTCCATTGTTCATTTCCATTGTCACAGGTCTTGGCCAAATCAACCTCCTCCAGGTAAGTTCCTAAAAGCCCCTCTCCACTCCAACAGGGAAGTAGGTTGTCTGAGTTTACCACCGTTGTCCATTCATTCACCTTGGTCCTTCTGGACTCAGCTGTGCAGCTGAACTGGATGCAAGCTTCCCTGGTCGCCCTCATCTTGCAACTGTTCCTTCGTTGAAGTCTTACCTAACATAACTTAGGGGTCAGAGTTCATCTTACACCGTGCACTGGAAAGGAGAAGATGAAAACATTTCTCGGGTGACCAAGTCTGAGAGGAGGTGGTCACGAAAGCCAGCGTCAGAGAGGCTGATGGTGAATTAGGAGGACCAGCTCAGCGCAGGCAGGGCTCCAAAGGGAGGCTCAGCAAGCTGGGCTGTTGAGTATTCTCAGCCAGGACCCATAGATGGCACTAGAGATTTGGAGATTTGGCTGCCACAGGGGGCATTCTTCCAGGGCTGAGAGAGCCAGGGGGAGACGGCCGGAGGGAGAGGCCAGTCACTGTCTTTTATGAATGATTAAAGTCTCAGAAGCAGAGATGAAACCATGTGGGTGGCTCTAGACAGGAGAGGCGACCACCTGTCAGCCACCTTCCCCGGTGGTAAGAGCACATGCATAGCTGGTGGCAGGCAGAGACGAGCGAGGGGACAGTAAAAGGAGAAGCAGGGAAGAGCACGAAGAGGGTCAGACTCAGGGCTATGATGAGGGGACAGAAGGGTGACAAGGAGAAAGCTTACCCGGGAGGGTGTTGCGGAAAAGGGCCGTCTGGGCAGAAGGCGGCTGTAAGTACAGAGGACGGGCCTCCTGACCCAGGCAGGCCAGTGGAGAAGGCCTCCCCTCCACACTCCCCTGCAGGACTCAGAGACACACACACCTTTCCTTCAGGATCTTTTATTAACGTATAGAAAATGTGTTTAAAAAAGGAACTATACAGAGGCTAAAAGCAACCAGGACTAAAAATACTAGTTAACAATGGTTAACAAGCAGAGATTCCAGTCTTCGAGCTACAGTGCCATGAAAGGGTGGGGCAGGTTGATTTTCCCTCTCTTGCTCTGTGTGGTTTTCTTTTAGGTCATTAAAGTGAGCATAACCTGAGGAGTCTGTACTCTTGTTTTTTTTTCCTTTCAGACTCCGTTTAAAGTAAGTGCTTTTTCAAGTACGTTGTAGCTACAAAGTCAGTCTTTGTTATTATTATTGTTATTATTATTATTATTATTATGTTTTTACCTGAAAAGGCTGTTAAAGGTTAAAACGACAAACTCAAATTTAGAGAGATTGGAGGATTTGGTGTTTATGAATTCTCAGAACAGCAATCTAGATTCCACCAGGGTGAGTTTCAGCTGCCTAGAGCTCCAGGTACTGACCTCTCTTAGAGTCACATGGCTTGTGTAGGGTACCTGGGAATTCCTGTGGGCCTGGAGGGAATGGAGTTTGGAGTAGCTGAAGTGTGTAAGTGACAGGAGGAGCTGACAGGTTAAGAACAGACTCAGATAGAGTCTGACCCTTAGAGGTTGGTGAGACCCTGCTGTAAGGCGAGGCCTCAGAGGGGACAGGTGGGAAGGAGCTGGTACAGGCGTGTTTAGTTGACTGACATTTCTGCAGGATCCTGGTGTTCACTGCCTCTCACATATGGTTGTCACTACTGTCCAAGCAACCCCTGCCCTGGAAAGGGACCGCAAAAGGCAGAGTTTTTCATGGAAAGATTCATTCTTCTTTATGTAAGCATTGTTTAACAACAATGAAAAAGAGGATCATTTCTGAAATTTTGGCCTGGCACTAAAACCACCAAGTCACTAAGTAAGGATTTCTTTCTAAATCCCCCAAAGTAGCTAAAAGACCTGAGATTGTGCCCAGTTGTTCTTTGAGACCCCACCCCCTCACTGCATCCACTGGGGATGGAAAGCAGGCAAAGAAACCAGACGATAAATAAAACTAATTTCTTTCCTGTCTTCTTCTAGCTTCATTTCTCAAAAAATTTCACAGATATGCCTGTGCAGGGCACCCTGAAGGTGTTTGTCTCTCTGGGAGTCTGGGAGGGGCTGGTCCAGATCTGTCTGCAGCCTGCTGATTTTTGCCTAAAAATTCATGAGATTTCTGCATTTGCCAACCATGCGTACTGGTTTCAATATGTTCATAATATAAAACTGTCTTCCCAAATTCTAGAATATATCAGTGTTCTGGGTGCTTGTGCCACGTTTATTCTGGGGTTTCTCCCTCCTAGTCTCTCTTATGCCACCTCTTCTCGCCTCTGCTAAAACTTCAGCTGGAGTAGCACGACTCTGGAAAATCCTACTCTTCCTCCATTGGAAAAGAAAGAGGTTCCTATGGTCCCCAAAGGATGGAGTGGGAAAAATTGTGTTTTCGTTCTGCTCTTTATCTCCTCCTCCAAGCTTGTGGAGGACCCTCTCTTTTACCTCCCAAATTGAAGGAAAGAAAAAGAAAGAGCTACCTGGATGTTCCTTACTCTGCCCAGTGACGAGGTTGAGAATTCCAGTGTAGGTAATCAAAACAATGCAAGAATTCCCCTTTCTTAATTAAAAGACAGAAAAGAGAGAGTGGCCTCAGTGACCCCTTTGTGAGAATATTAATAAAATCCAAGATGCATTCACATGGCTTCATAAACATGAATGGAGGCAGCTTCATGAGTAGAAAAATCAAGCAATTTTGAATTAACTGAAGAGATTTGGTGGCTTTCTATAGTAGCTGTGTGACTTTGGGGTTGTTACTAAAAATTTCTGTACCTGCATTCTCTTTTCTGTAAAATTGTGAAATCTATGGTAAAGATTTAACAAAATATGTTAAGCCCTTAGCACAGTATCTGGCAAATGGTAGATATTCTATTTCACTATTTTTCTCAATTGGTTTCTTGAAGAAAAACAAATTTAAAAACTCACATCAGATCTAACCTTAGCCCATTGCTAATTGACTGTGTGAACTTGCGCAAGCTGCCTATCCTATCTTGGCCTCAGTTTACTCGCGTATGAAGTCAGGGAATTCCTTCTGGCTTGAAGGTAAGTCCCCGACATCTGCCTCAGGGGCAGGAACACATTAGTGTTCAGTGACAGATGTTAAAAAGCATCACAGGGTTTCCCTAGGGGCTGCTAAAGCAGCTGGAGGAAGAGCACAGTTCTCATCCGAGCATTCATTTACCTGCCAGCCTTGCACCTGGCCCATAACTCAGGCGTCCCAGGCCTCCTGGGTGCATGGCTACTTTTTGGAGAAAGATACTTGCACTTCTCACCCGTGCCCATGCTGCCATGCCCGAGAAATCTAACCCAGGCTGAAGGGCTGTTTCTGAACTGGGAATTTAGCACTAGCTCGGCTCCCAGCCCAGGCCCTAGGGGCTGTTTTATTAATAGAGGGAGCCAAGTTTGTCTAAGGAACAAGGGCTGTGTTATTCGGGTGCTCCGCAATAGCCTTATTAAGCTTGGGGAAGGAAAGAGGATTTCCTGTTTGGAGAAAATGCAACTCTGTCCAAAGATCTCGAGGTTTGCCAAGGACATTTGGACAATGAAGTGCTGCAGGTGCAATGAAGTCATGTTTCAGGCTGGGGGTGACCTTGAAAAATAAATCAGAAATGCTAGAGATGACAAATCAGGCTGTGACTGCTGGCAATGAAAAAAAGTGACCAGGCAGGATGGGTTGAAAACATGAAGTCCCTCTGCTTCTTGTTTGGGGTAGGGCCTCTCTGGTGCCTTTACTTTTCCTTGGCGAAATGAGCAAAACGATTTGTAGCTCTGGTTGAAGCAGGAGGGCAGCACTCAAGAAACATACCTGGTACCTTTGTTCCAGCCACTCACACCTGGTCCCTGATTTCTTACTGGGGGAATGTCTGTACAAGGCTTCCTTTTTTAATCTGTGATGATCCATCAGCTTCTTCTTTTGTTTAATTTTTAATTTTGTTCCTCTTTCTAGCTGTTAGACAAAGCTGAAGGATACAGAACTAGCTTAAGTGAATCCAGTGTGGATACAGTCAGCATGATCTAGAGTCATGGTTCCCAGTGGGACCTCAATCCACAGCAACAAATTAGAATCAGTACTAGAGTTGTTTTCCCTACTTGCTTTTGGAAGTTTTCATTTCATCTGTGAGCTCTCACTTGGCTGGTGGTATAAAATGCTCCAGAGTTATTGAGGAGAACTTTGACAGAGGAGAGATGGGGTTAAGGTTTGGGGAAGCAGTTAACCAGAGATCTACAGGAATGTGATCAGAGGACCCTGGAGAATACAGCTAGAGAGAGACCATAACCATCACCCAGAAGCCAGACCTGTGACTCATGCTGCCCCAGAGGACTGAACCTCTCTGTCATCATCACCTGCATTATAGAGGATGTGAATGGGAAAAAAGTGGGTGTCCAGATCTATCATGCATAGGTACAGATTCCCTATGATGAATGTGACCAATGTACACCTCTAAATTTTGCCAATAAACTTAGTAAGAGGAAAAAAAGGACCACCTAGGAAGATTAGGCAGGGTTGAGATGTAGCCCTGCTGGATCTGGATGAGAAGTGGAGCAACCAAACTCACAGAGGTCACCAAGACCCTTCTTGTGGCCATGGCAAATTTGAGGCAGGTGTGAAAACAAGTGAAAACAATCCTCTTGCGGGATTTTTGAAACTGAACTGGGCTTCAATCTTTTCAAGTTCCCTTATCAATATTTTAAGAGCAGACAGTGAGATGCAAATAGAGCTAGAAAGTGATCTTTTCTCCCTCTACCTCCTCACCCCCATTTTCCTCTGTTTTGGAAGGAAAGAAATGGAATTAGGGAATTAGACCGAATAGGAGTTCGGTGATAAGAAAGCAAAGTACAGAAAATAACACAGCCTGGGTAAGTGGCTCACATTTCCTGAAATTCTGGGTGGAGAGAGGAAAGGAGAGAGGAAAGGAGAGGGGAAGGGAAGGAGGAAATGGGGGAGAGAGAGAGAGAGAGAGAGAGAGAGAGAGAGAGAGAGAGAGGAGAGAGAGAGAGAGAGAGAGAGAGAGAGAGAGAGAGAGAGAGAGACCCATGCCCATGCATTTGCAAATCCGGGTCACTGGCTGGTCTCTTTTCAAACCCTTGAGCTTGACGTATGCACTGTTCTCACAGGTTCCATTTCTGTTTCTCCAGAGAAAGGGACAGAGAGGAGCTCATATACCCTTTCTCAATGGGTGCTTTATAAAGAGGTCTTTGACAAGACTCTGCAATGACCTCTGGTTCCTTAATTTATAACGTTGCTCTTGAAGTAAATATTAAAAGTAAAAATGTATAGGATCGTTTGGTTTGGCATGGGACCCATTGGAAACCTTGGGCCTTTGACTTTCAAACAGCAGTTTCACATGGAGCTGGATGGTTCTCCTGGAGAAGGAAAAAGGTGTCTGATGGCCATTACCTTATGAATGGTGGAATAGGGTGGGTGAGGGAAAGAGTTGGTTTAAATGTTCATGGAAGTTTACTCTTCATCTCTTTGCCGCCATTTTGTTACTGTCCTCTTACAGATTTATCCCTCACACAGATCAGTCTTCATTTGTGGTTTGCAACTAGGTCTCCCAGAAAACTGTAGGGCCCAGGGGTTATTGCAGTGTTTCCCTGCGTCTCTGGAGGTGTTGTGCGCGCCACCTTGTGGTCACTTTTAGTAGGTTCCCTCTCCATCTGTTAAATCTGTTCTAATGGCCACCATTTATTGTCATTTTTATATCTGACTCTTTTCCTTCCAGAAGTAACCCTGGAGAATATGAATTTAATATATTGGAAACAATACTTATATGATACGAAGCGCAAAAAGGAGAAACTGCCTGAGTCTGGCAGTGAGTCTACTGTAGTCACTGGTAGTTGGTTTTGATTTTTTGGTACCTTTTTTTTTTTTTTTTTTTTTTTTTGGTATAAGTATATATTCTGATTTCATTAGACTGCCTTTATGGCAGGGTCCATTGCTTTTCCTCCCAAGTCCCTCAAGGGACCCTTTGGTATCCTTGCCTCTCTCTGATATCTTTCCCGGGAAAAGGACAGGTACTTGAGGGAGAGAACAAGCAAGCATCATCTGGGAGGCTCAGGACAGAAGTTAAATGAGTCAATTGACCCTGGGCCTTGGGAAGACATAGAACAGTCCTCCAAAAATGACTAAAACAAAACAAAACAGAAAACCAACAAGAACACTAATAGCAACAAAAACTAAAAAACTCACCTCAGGAGAAAGGTACTTCACTCAACAAAAAGAATCTACTCAACAAAATTCTCTAAAATGAATGAGGGAATGCTGCTGAGTCTATTTATGAAAATTCTCCATAGGGTAACCCAGTTCCTATGAAAGGCAGACTTTGGTTTACACTGATGTTTGTTGACTTTCTCTTAAACTGATGACATACAATCAAGTTCCATTTCAGCTCCATGGCTGAGGTGGGCAGTCCTGGCACACCCAGGTCCCTGGAATTGCTTCTGTAGGTATATATGCTTCAACCTCTTCCTTGGCATTATCTTCTCTCTCTCTCTCTCTCTCTCTCTCTCTCTCTCTCTCTCTCTCTTCAGACTTTTGAATCAGTTTCTCTTTCCCTCCCTTCTCCTTTCCTTCTGTTCTTTCCACACATGACCTAATTGAGTCCTCTCATGGACGCACATTTCCACTGATTTTCACACCATAGACAATCATTACTGATGCTAGAACTGAAAGAGAAATTAGAAATTATTCTAGTCTAATGTCTCATCCAATAGGAAAGGATACTGCAGCCAAGAGAGGTAAAACAACCTACCCAGAGCCACACGGTAGCATAATGCAGAGTTCCTCATTCCGTACACTTCCTTCCTTCAAACTTGTCCCAGGCTCTAGCTAAATCTTTTTAATACACAGGCTTCTCTTTCTTCCTCTTTCTTCTAGTTTTTTGAAGCATACTATGAACTGAAAAATAAAAGTACCAGCTCCCTCTTTTGATCCAGGCACGTGGTAGATGAGGTCTCACTGGACACTACTAGAAGACAGTATCTACAGAAAACGGCAGACTGACTGTATCCTCACACTCCAGAAGTGCAGTTGTCAGGCCTAGGGACTGTCCCTTCCTGCTTGTTAAACTTTGTTCAGAGGGTGGGCGTTTCCATTAGAAAATCACCCATCTCAGGCTCGTCTAGTTACTGGTTGGCAAAGGCACAGAAGCCCCAGTTTGGCACACATGGTCCCTACAGGAAACAGAATAGGAGTCCTGGGCAATTGGAGAAGAAAGGGAGAGGGCAGCTGTGGGCATGAATCTGGATGGTTCCTGCAGGAGGGTTGCAGCTGACATTTGGTTTGAAGGAGAAGTTGAAAGGTCAGAACTTTTGAGAACCCTGGGCTTAAAAATCCAATCACGCTGGCAGGGACAGCACATCTCATAACTTTGGGGACAGGCCCACAGTCCTCCCTTTTCACCTTTGGGTTCTGGATGTAATTTCCTCCAGCACTTTTCATTTTTCCTTTCAAAAGCAGGATAATAAAAGAAGATGGAGAAAGGCGTCTCATGATCTCACCTCATTAAGGGGTCATTTCTGTTTTCCACAGGACCAAATTTAAAAAAAAAAAAAAGCCCTCAAAGCAAATATTCCATCTCCTCCCAGGACTGTTAATAAGAAAATGGCTCACTGGTCATAGAACTACTTCTTCTGACTTATTAAATCGCCTACACCAAGGAGAACCTGGCTGATGACAGAAACAAGGCCATTAGTTTGCAAATTCTGCAAAATAATCCGTGACAAAGCAGAACAAAAATGGAAACGGGTAAGATCTCTGTTTTCCATGGGACTTATCTCTGTGGCCGATGCCCTTATTTCTGCTTCTTCTGTCTTTTCCTCAGAGCTTGACCCAAAGTGCTACAGACAAAAGCCATCTTCCCAGCCCACCCCTGAAGAAAGTCACTGGCTGGCTGCCCTGAGGGAGGGGATGTGGCTTGAGACCCACAAGGATGCAGCTGCTGCATAACCCAGGGCCAGTGGCAGGCAACATCCTGGGAACCAGATGAGACTGTAGGCCTGAATGTAGAAAGAAATTAGGCAAAAGATTGAGCATGGCTAGAAAAAGGCCCCCACACTCTGGAAAGGTAAGAGCCTCAGAAATGAGAACTTTGGTCCCTTCCAAAGAACATGGGCTGTTGGGTAAGGGTGTGGTTGATTGTTTCCCTCTTAGGGGCTTTGTTGGCCGGACTCTTTTGCTAAGACTTCTTCTCTGAGCTGGTGTGACTACCTGATCATCAAGGGCACTGACCAGATCAGCAATACCTGGTAGGTGGAGGCATCATGAGAGAGTAGAAAAAGAAGGTGCGCACTATCACCCTAACAGTTGTATTCCGTGACTTGTCTTTGAACTGGTCATTGAAGCGAATGTCCCACTTTTCCTCCTTGGTGGGAAAGGAGGGGAATGTTAGGGATGATGGGTTAGGAGGGAGGGTGCAGCCTGGGGCCAGGCTCTGAGCAGCAGAATACAGCAGACAGTAATTAGCTGGCCCCTGCCACAGCCCCGCTTCCTTCAGAGACCCTTAATACACTGCAAATCACGTTGCTATCACCCTCCCCCCTTGTATCATATTATAAAATACAAACAAATGACAGAAAAACTCATTTGGCTTGTGACTGTGCACTGCTCAGAACTGTAAGGCCCGCCGTTTCCTTCCCGATGAGAGACGGTGGTTGTAGGGGCGCATCTTCATTTCCACGAAGGGTATGGAGAACTCATGGCCTTTCCAGTGGTACCAGTTGATCCCCTGGGCATGAGACAGATAAACATATCAACTCAGTCTTCCCTCTCCTTGGGATGCCCTACTGGAAAAGAAGGGAAATGATGGGAATCGGCAAGCAAATGTGGGTCTGGCTGTTTTAGTGAGAAAGTAGCTTCCCGGCTAGGCTCCCACTGTAGAGTAAGGAGCAGCATCTGCGGCCCGGTTTTCCCCTTATGCATTCTGTGGCCTGGGTCTGAACTGCAGGTCACTCTTAATCGCCAGTTTTATGGTTTTGGCTTTCAGGAGTTGTGCATGCACTTGTAAATAGTGGTGGATTTCAGAACCCCAGGGGTGTGGCAGCGATTTGAAGAGATCCATTTGCCCATTCCTCATAGGAGACTCAGGCAGACTCTGTGTGGGGTGACCGAGCAGCTGGGTTTGTCCAGAGCCTAGGACTTTCGCTAAGGCCTTTCGATGCCAAAACCGGGTAAGTTCCACTTGATCCAGCTGCCTCCCTGGACTTGCAGTCTGGGGAAAGACAGTCCAGCTCATGGGCATTTCTGATCTCCCCCTGCCTGGGGCCCTAAAATGAAGTGCAGCCTTTGAAGTTATTTCTCAAATTGATAAATTCCTCCTGTGAGGAAACGGAAGGGAAGCTGTCTGGTCACCAAGGGCCAGTCTGAATGAGTGCTAGGGCCTGATGCTTCCCAGAGGAAGGAAAGGAGCACCCGGACCTCCCGATGGCTTCTGCTCGATGCTGTCCCTATGCCTGCATCTTTACACTTTTTTATTTATAACAATGATCTTTTCCAAGCCTCTGCATATTTCTTTTAAAAGAGAAATGTAGGACTTGCACGTGCATTAAAATAAAGCTGGGCCCTGGGCACCGAGCTCCGAGCCACTCCCGGTGCAGCAGGCTGCCACCCACCTGGCTGTGCCTGGACTCCGCGTACTTCCCATTGAGATTGGTCCGGTGGCAGTTCTTGTACCACCAGGCGCCCTTGTAAGACATGGCACAGTTGGTAACAGCAACGTCATTGTCTCTGTCCTGTGTGGAGAAAGGGCGTCCCTGGTGATAGCTAAGGGAGTCTCCTGCAAAAAGAACACATGTGAGACTGTGCTATTTGTTCCTTTCTCCAGGATTTTTGGACGTTTGACCTATTGCCAGGAAACCTGCACTCCACATGTGGAACCTTCACCTACTCTCCTGTCCCCACGCAACCTCTCGGCTGGCTCTGTCTCTACTTTATCCCTGGTGTTATTATCTCAGGCTGCTTTCTCCAGCCACATCCTCATCCCATGACCTTTCGCTGAGAATTTTGCCCACACAGTCCCATGTCAACACCCTGTCTTTTTTCCTCCAGGCCTGGACAGGGACACAGAACACCCATGGTTCCAGCTGCCTCAGTGCTGAGCCAAGTTGGCTGGGACCACTCAGATTCAGCCTGGCTTTCATTTTAGTCCTGATCAGACTGTACCCGAAAACCCCCATTCAGCACTGGAGGCTGCCTGTGAAGAGGGACATTATTAAATCACAGTTCCATTCTGTGGGAAAAGGGATACAGAAAAAAATCATAGCTGTATTAGAGGAGAATTGGGTTGGAAATGGGCTTATCCTGGGCAGAGGTCCATGGATACTATCCTCAGATATCAGAGGGACTATTAAGAAAGCATTAATAAACTCTGGAGAAGTGAGAGGGTTAGTGTGTAGAGACTAGTAAGAAATATTTAGGCTTAATGTGAGGGTAAAAAATCACCTAAATATTACAGTTGCTCTCAAGTGGTACAGATTGCTGAGAACTATGGTGAGATTTCTATTCTCAGAGGCAAACAGGCTGGGCACTGTCTGCTGGGGGTGCTGCACGGGACGCTTGTATAGAGTGTTTAAGATGCAGGGTTGGGTTCTTAATCCTCTATGAGGAGCAATGAAAATTGTGGTAGGGTTCTTGTATAGATTCATAATGATTTCTTATTTATTAAAGTGACTTTAGATGTGTCTGAGGCTATTTGATGCTAGTAGAGACTTAGTTCTGGCTAGCTGGTTTTGGAGTTCTGATCACAGTGGTCACTCAGTTCCTACAGTGGATGGATCACAGCTCAACTGTGGGCTGCTCAGCCTGACCCTCTGCCTGGTCCCTAAACTAACACATAATTGTGTGAGTATTCTGGTCTCTTCATCTTTTCCTTCCAGTCCCCAAGGATTCAGACTTTGTGTCCTCTAGAGCTAATCCCACCATTCCAGATCTAATTTCCATCCTGGAAAAGACAGAAAAGATTTCTTCCCCTTCCCTATTAAAAAGAAAAAAACCATTTTTATCTGTTACTGTAAGTCATGCTTATATCTTTTATCTTAAAGACTCTTGGGTTAATTCTGCTCTTCAGCAATCCTTTCTTTAACCACCAATTCCTGGATTGTGTTGCCTGTACTCCACATCCACATCTTCTCATCCCTGTTTATCCCTCTGTGATCTGGAATTTGCCCTGGAATGAGTCTCTCCAGCGTCCGCTTAGATATCAAACCTGCCACCATCTTCACGTCCTCCTAAGCCTGGCCCTTTGCCCATGGCTGCCTCACCTGCTCATCATGTTAACCAAGTCCTTGCTTCTTCCTGTTGAACCACGCTCGGATTTACCTCTTTCTCGTTACCCCAACATGAGTCAAGGCTGCTATTCTTCTCTATCAGGATCAGTGTAGCAGCCGAGAGCTATCCTTTCTGTTCTCTGAGCTTTACTTCACCTTGTTTAGGACTGCTCCTCTGACCTTCCTCAAGCCACCTTCCCTGTGGCCTGCGGGACTTACAAAGGCACCCCTTGCCCACCACACTAAGGCTAACATTTCCTGCTGACTGCTCAGGCTGACTGCTGGTCAGGATCCGGCTCCTTCTCCTTCACCAGTTTCTTTCATTCCTTCTGAGCTTCTGCTCTGCCTGGGACAGCTGTGACTTTCTCAGCTTTCTCCCCCCAGAGGAGCTAATCTTTCTGCAGCTTCTCATGCCCTCTCCATTTAGGTTTGTTAGATGCAACTGCTGTGATGGAGCCTTCCTCACTGCCAGACCCCCTTTCCAAGCACCCCTTAAACAGAAAGTGCATGGCATTTATTGTGTAGTGACTTCCTAATTGTTTTTTTAATACTTGTTTAGTTCTTAAAAGGCCATGTTTTATATTTCTTTCGAGTCCGCACAACTTGCACAGTAGGCCTTAGACTTGCTCGCAAGTCTCCTATTGATAACCTGGAATGTTCAGTTCTAACCCAAGCACAGTCCTACTTAGAGACTGGCCTGGAGAAAGGGGAGCAGAAGGAGCTGAACTTGGATGAGAGGGCCTGGAGAGAGTTCTGAGGGTGGGGCCAGTAAATTGAGCAAGAAGGAAAGTTGAGGGTCAGGGAATTGGGTAATATTAAAAAATGCCAGACAGAAGGGAGGGCCCGTTCCTCCCTGGAAATCTGTGGGTCTAGAAAGAACCACCATTGTATGGAGTTGCTCAGAGAGCACGTGGCCTAAATAGGCTGAGTTTTTCATCTCCTGTGGATGAGCTGAATATTCAAGATGAAGAAAAATCATAATTAACTTTCAATGACCAGCCATGGTCTTACGAGAATTTGCCTCTGACATATACGAGTCAACTTCAGCCCAACAGTTCTGCCCTCTGTGGGGACTTGCAGGGAGGCAGGGCTAGGACAGAGGTAGCAGGGGCCACCCTGCAGTCAGATAAAACATAGGCTAGGGGTGTAAGGAAGAGGAAAAATGCAGGGAAGCAGGAGGGCCTGCTTTCTTTCCTATAGGAGAAATAAGAATGGATTTTCCATAGGCACAGTTCTAATCCTGGGGAGTGAAAAATTTAGGCTAGTAACTCCATGTATCAAACAGTAAGATATTTGGCAATATAACTTTATGAAAAGTGTTACAGTAGAACACACGAAACAGGCTAGCAAACAAACTGGATGTTATGTGTCAATAGAAGGAAACGCCAGGGCTCACAGAGATGGGTGCTCTGCTCACAGAGACACTGTAAAGAAAAACTGATCATACACATGATTCTCTGGGAGGCTTGAGAGGCCTAGTGAGGGGAATTGAAGTGGTGTCTTTGCTCCTAGATGCAGCCATCACGACTGCTGATGGTGAGGGGTAAGGAGAGAGCATCCCAGAGAACGGGGATCTGTATTGTTTTCATCAATTCAAAGATGGTTTCCCAGATGCTACTGCAGGGAAGTTTTTCCCCAGGTAGAGATGGTTCTGATTCCTCTGAGAGAACATATTGATTCATCTAGATAAGAAAAACAATTCTTTGTTTTCCTTCATGACACTTTTTTTTTTAAAAACTTTAAAGACTCTTGCATTGCATTTACTGGACTTTTTCTTACTATTCTATGGAGTAAGTCAGACATTATTAGAGTTTTCCAGATGAGGAAACTAAGTTCCAGGAAAGTGACTTCGGGTGAACTCAGCAGCTAGCTGAGCTGTGAACACTGCTGCTCCCCATGGCAGCAGCGCCTGACACCCACGGCCAGTCTGCTGCATGCCACCGGCCTTGGGGTGCACTCAGGGCCCAGGTACCTGCAGTGCCGTTGTAGCTTCCTAGGCGGAGTTTGTACAGGCTTCTGCTGTCTTCCACAGAGAACTTGTCGTAGTGGGCGAAGGCGGCCTCCTGCCCATCCCGCATATCCACGCGCAGCTCATAGCGGCCCTGGGCTGTGATTCTGTGGATGTTGTCCAGCCCTGCGGGGAAGAGCAGAGGCTGGGCTGAGCCTGCCCCAGCAGCTTGAGAGGTGGGAGGGAAGATTGGCTACATCCTCCAGACAGATGCTGAGGGAAAGAGGATTGCTTTTGCCCATACCCTGTCTCAGGTTATTTTTCAAACAGCCTCTGACAGGCTCTGCACTTTCTGGAGTAAAGAGGCTTCCAGGTCCACTGATGACTGCATCCTCAGACAGCTTGGATCCTCATATCTCATGTTGATCTAGTAATTGTTAAGCCCTGAGTCTGAGGTTCCCAGACCCTGATCCTTGTTCCCTTCTATGCCAAATTATGGGTTGGACAGAAATCAACAAGTGGCATTGTGAGTGTGAGTCTTTGGTGTCAGCAGGAGAAAGCAAGACAGAAACCCTGGAGAAGTTCAGAGCACCCGATATTTGGACTTAGCATTTCCTAGCATTTGGAGGAGGATTCTGTGTCTTTCATTACACTGCCCCTCCCGTCTGCCTCCAGGCCTCGTAGGCCTCCCAGAACCAGGTCAGAGAATATGGATAGTCCTGGGCTGATGGTGCCTCAGCTGATGATTTTCTGACTACACAATGGTGTGAAAACCATTCACATTTAGTGGAAATGGCACTTGGAGCTTTGAATTTTAATCTTCCCCCAGGTATGACTTGCTCTCTCCTGATGCTGAGCAGTGGAGTGAGCACAGCTACCAGCCAGAGTGTGATCACTTGGGTAAACAATCCCTACAGTACAATGTCTCCAAGTATGCTGCTGAGTCAGAGGCTTGGTAGGGTAGGTGTGTTAAGTACATTTTCAGCTTCAAAAGATTTTCAACTCAGGATGGGTTTATCAGGTTGTAACCTCTATCATAAGTTGAGGGACATCTGTGTTCTTCTCCACCTCCCGATCCAGTTGTCTTTGATCTAATCTGCCTGCCACGTCTTACACTGCTGCCTCTTCACTGTCTTCTAGCCCGTGATCCTGGACTCACATGCCCTCTCTTTGGTTTCTCTGGCCACTCCAGGCTTTGGGCTAACTGGTTGTTTTAAGGGACAAACCCTTGCCAGTTTGGAGTTTGCCCCCTTCCTCTGAGAATCTCTAAATTTTGACCTATTTGTCCAAACTTTGAACCATTCCACAGTGATTTCCAAACCTTCCTGATTCTATCTGCCTGGTGCAGTGGGATCCTCTTGCTTTGCTGTGACATCTGATAGCAATTCTAGTGTGTCAGGATTTAGAATCAGAGACTCACATGGCAGGAGGGGAAATGAGCCTCACTTAATCCTTTCCTTCCTCCATGTCTTGCGTTTGACCTTGGCCAGTGACTGCTGTGGGGGTTCAAAGGTCTGGGCTTCTTAGGCCTTGGGGACTGGGACTTTCAGGAGCAGTTTAAGCTCCAGAGCTTCCCTTGAGATGAGGGTGAAGTGAGTTTCCATCTGAGGCTCATTTTTAGTAGTTTTTCTGGCTCTTCCTGCTTCTTCTTATAGAAACCCCTAACCCTTTAGTAACTCATTTGAATGAGAACTCTCCCCATTAAATAACTGAACAAGAATCCCTGTCTCAAGATCTGTTTCTAAAGAGCTCAACTTAGGGTGACAGTGTTACCTCTAACCTGAGTGCTGCTGCCAGACTACACATCACTGGGCTTCAAAGAGCCCTCACTGGCTCCTTATTACACCCTCAAGACCTCTCTTTCTGATTTTTGAGAGCTGTAGGTGCTTTCCTTCAATACACCTGGTCTCATTTTTCTCCTGATTTGCACTTGCCCCGTGGCTGGACGGGCTTCCTGCCTGCACCCCGGTTTGCATGTGTCAGGGATTCCTGCCTTCCCTTCTCCATTCTTCTGACTCACTGCTCAATGCCTTTATCAGGAATTTGCTGTTTTTCCTCTGAATCTCTGTGGACTATTTTTTTTAATGGTAGCTCACAGATTAGTGTAGGAGGGAGCTTCCAATAATAAGGGAAATGTGCAGGAATAAGGCACTAAATGACCTTAAACACCTAAGAAGAAGGATGTTTCCAAATTTTATCTCAGTCTTTCTCAGTAGATGGAGAACGGCCCCTTCCCACTCTACCCTCAGCTCAGTTCAGTTTAAGCATTTGTGGTTTGTTTAACACACAGGACTGTCTAATCTGCATTGTAAATACCACCATTGGCAGCAACAACAATAGGCTGTATTTAAATGTCATTTAATAGCATTAATATTATTTCATTTTTATTGTATTTATTTTTGAGGCTTCTTTTTTACGGCCTGTGATAACTAGCATTTTTGGTGATGTTATATTTATAGGTAAATGGAGGCAACTTGAGAATATCCTCATAAGTGAAATAAACATGACTCACATTAGTAAATATCACATTGTCTCTTTAGTATAAAAAATAATAAAAACTGACAGAGTAATAGGATCCAAACAATATAACAGATATTGTAAAAGTGACAGAAGGAAAGTGCTCTAAAGGATGTAACGGTAATAGTGTGTAAGATACATGACGATATTACTGAATTTCTGTTGCATCATTGAACAGAATGGCTTGCACTGTCAATGTTTGAGTGTCTAGCCACTTTTTATGTTTTGATTTTGTGACTTTGGCAACTATTTTTAAGATGACAATGTGTAATGTATCAAATAGCGATTTTATGATGTTAATTTTTTTGAATTGTGTATTATTCTACCTTTTTTCTATTTTATTTTTTAAAATTTTCTTTTCTTTCTTTCTTTGAAAAAAGATAACAATATGCAGTATAACAACCATTGTTAAATTTCTTTCATTCTGTTTTGAAAGCCTATATTGCTATTGTTTTGGATTGGTTGTTAATGTTTGTCTCTTTTGCTTTTGTTTTTCTTTTCTGACTTCTTTTTGTTTTTAAAATAAAAAATTAAATTTCCTTAAAATGATTTAATTTAGATATTAGATTTAAAAAATGATATATAGAAAATCTGAATGCTTGATAGTGTATATATTTCACAAATATGACACAAACTATGAAACTGGTACACATGGCTTAGGTTTAGGACAGAAGTTCCCATCTGCTTTGGATACACTGATTTGTGTGCATTTTCCTTGCCTTCCACACTGTTTGCAAATGCTTCAAAGGTAAATATATTATCTTATTTGTTTGTCTTCTCTCTCAATGTGTTTATATGGCTTATACCTTTTATTGCCTACACTGGCAAACACAGATTTAGTTTACAACAGGTACTCAATAAATTCTTATAATTGCTTGATTGATGTCTACTCTTTAAGTACCAACTATACTTTAAATGCCTCCCAGCACTGTAACAGGCAATGATGCTAAAAGAGAAATATGATGTGGTCCTGAAAGAATTTTACATCATCAAGAGAGACAGGAAGTAACATGGGCATTATGATTTGGGCTACAAAAGAGAATGGAGAAATCCTCCCCCGGGCATCAGGTGAGAGAAATGGTTAGGACAGATTCTCTGACAGTGGAAGAGTTTAGCTTAGCCTTTGGGTATGTGCAGATGGATGCCATGGTGGACAGGGGCAGGGGCTGGTTGAGAAAGCATTCCTTACAGGAACCTCAGTGGTTCTGTGGCTTTGGAACTTGGTGATGGGGAAGATAAGAGGAGGGGCAGGTGATGTGCAGAGGCTCTACAGGAAGAGGAGAAAGGCCTTGTATGTTGGCCAAGGTGTTTAGCGTTCATGGTGGCAAGGAGGAGTTATTGAAAGGCTTTGCAGAGATGATTCACCCTTGCTTATATCTGGGGTGGGAGGAAGATCATTGTAGCAGCTGTGTGGACCATGATCTGGCCTGAGAGGCTGAAGGCCAGTAAAGGACTTGTTAGCTGGGCATCCAGGTGAAGATGCTGAGGCTTAGACCAGACGATGGCAGAAGAGGTGGAAGGGAGACCACAACACAGAACATGATTTTTTGCTTTTTCCTCTGCCTCCCTTCATCAACTGTTATGAAACTCTAACCAAGCAGGAAAGCTAGATAATCATATATGGACTGCTTTCTGGATGGGTGCCACTGCCACCTGGCTGACTTGGATGTGTGTTAACCATCCCATTCCAGTTCACTTCTCCACTGAAACCTCTAGGAATAGCTAATCACTTCTAAAGGAATTTTTCTTTTCCCCTTTCCTTCTCATACCAGGTAATAACACTTTCTAAGAACCCAAGCAGAGGTCCTGGTCCCTTTTTATCCTGACCTACATGCTGGCTGATTCCTGGCTCTGGAGAGGAGGCCAGCCTCCTCATCACCTTCTCCTGCCCGGCAGCTCACTGCCTTTGGACCTGCTTCATGTCAAGACCCATCAGCATAAGAGACTATTAATGAGGATGGGAAGAGACAGAGCAAAGAGGAAAACACAACCATGAGATAAAAACAGATCAATAGTGGAGCCAAACAGAGCAAGAGGCTCTGAAAGCAATTCACAAGCTGTCAACTTCTCAATGGATGGGAGGTTTCTGATAATCCCAGACAACACAGAAAGGAAAGAGATGGACAAGAAGCCAGTTCAGCACACCAAAGGAAAGCAGAAAGGAGGCATTACCTAACCAAAACTCATCCTCCAGGTTCCCAAAGCCAGCGCGGTAATCAGCCCATTTCCGAAAGAAATCAGTTTGGCCATTCTGACGTCTCTGGAATACCTGTGAAAAGGAGGAGGGGAGAATGAGAAGACAGACTGCAGTGAATAGAACCGATACGATCAGGTTCCGTATAGGCAATGGCAAAGGTTTGCAGATAAGGACCAGGGCTTGGTATTCACACAGCAGCATGTGGAAGGGTGTTCAGAGCCCCTGTGTGGAAGAGCAGAAGTCCCGGGTAAACAGGCTGGAGTGTGATGTTGATGCCAGCTTGTACCTTTGCAATGTAGAAAGGATTAAGATTACATAGAGGGGAAATAAGTTTGATTCTCTAACCCTAACCCTAACCATTTCTCACCAAAAGAACAGGACTAACTTCAAATCATCTAGTCACTGTCATTCTCTTATTGTACACAAAGCAGCTGCACATCATTCACATTCTGAGCTGTTTAAGTGCTAATTTCATTTAACCTCCAATACATCAGCTGCGGTTTGAATTTCCACTTATGCTTTAAGAAGGAGGCACAAATATGTCAGAAACATAAAAGAAAATGCCTCCCCAGAGTGGCTGTTATGAGCACAGCTACCATTTAACTCTATTCAAAAACTTCCCATTTCATAATATGGAAAATCCAGCACTGTGCATTTTAGCAGTGCTGGAGGAAGATGTGCAGGAGACTCGGGGTGCTGGGATTGCATCCCCACAAATCACGTTTGGGGGCCAGGCTGCACTGTGAGGCTCCCTTGCAGTGAAAGAGTGCCTGTGAGGCTGCTTTTGGCAGGCATGGGAGGAAGTCAGCGACAGCAAGTGGTATCTTGCTTTTCCTGAAATCAGGTGCTGGGCAGCCCTTAAGGAGGGGCCTGGGGAAAGGAAGAGGAAAGGGACAGCTCTTGAAACTAGAGGTGGCTATTCAAGTTCTGCTCCTCAGCTGTTCCCCTCCATGCCACCCTCCAAGAGAAGGAGCCATTACCTCGCTACAGGGCAGCCCCTCTTGTGTCAAGGGCCTCCTTCTCCACCACTTTATTATAGCTGCTGCCATCAGCAGGCAAGATCAGAGTGACTTCCATGAGTCACTACTGCTTTTCTCCAGCACCCTCTTTGAAAAAGAAACAGGAGGGACATCTGACTTTGATCTATGCCACCTCAGCCTTCCTATGCTATTTCCTGTCTTTGCTTCACCCTATTTGTGATTGGGGTACCGTCTCCAGCCTTTGAGGCAATGAGGAATTCCACATTGGACATAGATGGGTGGATGAAAGGGTGGCCAGAAGGAGGGTGGAGTTTGAAGGACAGGTGCTAAGCTGTCAGACCAGAGCCCTAGGATGTTTGCATGTGCGGAGAGCAGCTGCGTGTACTTACAATCCAGCCGCCCCCATCCGTAGTCATGTCACAGTATACTTGCAACTTCTGGCTGAGCTCTCCATTGAAAAAGATGGTGTAAACTCCGCTCAAAGTGTCTCCATTCATCAAATGCTGGGCGCAGTCTTGAGGATGAGCAAACACTCGGCCCTCTGCATAAGAAAAGAGGCAATTTCTAGACAATGTCCTTCCCCCTACTGTGCAAAAAGCTGCTTGGAGCAGAGAAGGCTTTAAAGGGCCTCATAGCTGTTACTTCAGCAAGAACTATAAGAAATGCTCAACGGATGCAAACAGTGCATGGGTGTGAAGATTCTGTATCCCTCTCTTCAACTGATGTTGTATTTTACTGGACAATGAGATATGGAGATCAAAGAGCAGAGTTTATGATTTGGCTTCTCTGCCTATTTCCTTGATTTTAGGCAAATAACCCAACTTCCCTGAGCATCAGCTTTCTCACACTAAAATGGGGATAACAAAGATCTCCCCCTTGTAGGTGCAGATGTGTCAATATAGCCAGCAACTAGATGGATACTTAGGAGATGGTGATGGATGCATGGGCTGACAAATCAGTGTGGAGTCTACCTTCCAAAACAGCGAAAGGCATCTAAGTGAAGCTTTCCATCATCCTCATAGCAGGCATTAAGGCGTGGCTGAACCCCCTCAGTGTTAGTGAGAAGATAGATATCCATTCCTTGAGCAAAACAATCTCCTGATTGTACTAAATGATCGAATGGCCATGTTTTACAGTTCGGCTTAAGTTTAAGGAGAGGACAGGGGAAGTAAATTGCAGCTCGTCTTTCAGAGAGAACAGCCCAATTTGCAGAACAATATCTAATTAGCTGAAAGAGAAGCTTAAATCATGCATCTTGAGGAGCTGAGCTTTGAGACACATTTTAGTGCTTAGCAGGCAGGCCAAGAAGTAGAGAGCCAATCAGAACTTTTCTGGACAGCAGGGGTGGATGGAGCCAGTCGAAGGGAAGAGCTTGATGTGTGAGGAATGGGGGGTCAAGTGCTCAGCAAATACAATGGTCCGCTGGTCGAGTGAAGAGAGCGGCACTCCTGTTAAAAGTCTGTGTCCTTGAACCTTCAACAGCTTTGAAGACAGGCAGTAAAGGGTCTCACATGACAGGCACTTACCATGCCCCCTAGTGGCAGAACAGGTGCACTACAGGTGTGGTCTAGGGCCACTGGGAAGCTAGGTGGTGGGTCAGAGTGTCATGGCACGTTTCCCAAGAAAGGGGACATAGTTACCTCACTGAAAGACCTGGTCATCTAAACCCAGGTCCAAAGTGGTCAGTAAAGCATCCTTCCTGTGTTAGGAAGAGGTCATGGGTGTTTGATAGACTTCAGGCAAACCTCTCTGCAGGGGACACTGTGAACTGTTCCTGGCTTACAGCTCCAACAGGGTTAAGGGGAGTGCCCAATTCAGGGGTTTGGAACAAAGGTCCTGCCCACTTCAGAGAGTAACAATATGTTTCTGCAATACTTGTCCTTTACAAAGTGCATTTTTATTTCTACTTAATACTTATGAGAAACTTGAAGGCAGATTGGTATAATGAGAGACTTGAGAAGGAAATGGCTCAGAACAATCACAGGACTTACTCAGCTCACTCATCCTCGAGTTTGCAAGACCCTGGTCACATGCTGTGTACTCAGCTAAAGCAGGAAATGTGACTTACACTCTGGTTCCTGGAAACCTACATTTACCCGTGTGGCAAAGAATGAACTGATGTGTGTATATAAAACTCCAAAAGTTGCTTCAAAAGGTTCTATGTTCAAGCTAAATCTTTCTCTTTTAAAATTGACTTCCCCCATACAACAGTTGCAGAAAAGCTGTTAGCGTTCATCTCCAGCATGTCCTGGAACTCTTTAAAATTCTTGATTCCACTTATTCTTAGAGGTTACAATTGCATTTCAGGTGACAGGTGCCAGTGGCCTGTGACCCAGCTCCCTGTTGCTTTGGGATCATGAGTTCTATTTCCAGGGTACCCCTTTTTTCCTTGTGAGACAAATTCAAGCTGGCTCATATGTAGCCCAATTTGATCTTGAGCTCATGGCCTCCTCCTGCCTCAGCCTCCTGAGTGTTAGGATTATAGGCGTGCACTACCTAATCTGGCTTCCAGGCCATTCTTGATCTGGTATCTGGAGCAAAGAGCACATCTGTCATCTCTCCCCACTCTTCTCTAACTGCCTGAGCTTCTCATTTTAGATCAGCACAATAGTTTTTTCTCATGAAAGAACGTTTAATTCAATCCCATGTTAGCTTCTTAAAGGAATTTAAATTCTCACCAATATCCAGTATGTTCTCAACAAAACATTTCCCCTCAAACTTCAAACAACAACCTCATTCAAATACAACAATAAAACCAAACCAACCTTCAGAACAGGAAAAAACATAGTATAAGCTTCTTCATGTGGATAATGTTGATTAATATGTTACAGATATTTTTGAAAGGCTCAGAGAAACTGTTTTAAAGCTAGACTTAATACAAAAAACAAACTGAGATGACTTGAACTGGAGAAGGGAAATTTAAAATACATGTGTAACTGTCTTATATATGAGTTTATTTATTTATTTATTTGTTAAAGTCAGAAAGTAGGAATAAAATCAATTTGGAAAAAGAGTGTCATCTAAGGGGCATCAACACTGGCTAGGATAAGGGTCACCAGTGGTGTCCAGGAGAGGAAGGACTATGCTTTCCTCATCTTGGGCCCTGTGCTGAGCTGGCTGTAGGAGGTGATCGCCAAATGTGCTTGAGGCTGGTGCATGGTGGCCGGGTATGCTTGTTGTACTCTTGATAAATTGCAAGGCCATCTGTTCATTTATAGATTTGATTTATTGCAATTGAATCTGTGGCATTAGCAGAAAGACAATCAAGAAGTATTTTGATTTTATAGATGGTAAGAAGCAGAAGCCTGGGATTTGCCCATCCTGGAATCTTGGAGAAGATACAATGCTTACCACGAAAACACTTCTCTCCAACCTGTCCTAGCTTTCAACACAGCCAAAGTTTTGCTGTTTACTCACCAGTCCTGGATCAAATTATTGCTCCTTTCCATCAGACAGGAGAAAGCAGAGACCTATAATAGTTCTCAAATAAGGGCTTCCTTAAAATTCAGATTTCTGTGTTATACTGCAGATCTATTAAATCAGAATGTTAAGGGATAGGCCCAAGACTTATTATAACACCTCCAGTGGCTCTGAAGACCAGTGGGATTTAAATTCCTCTATTTGTATTGTACATTTTCCTCTTCTCCTCAGAGAGCCCCAAAAGTAGAAGGGATAAACTAGACAATATTCCAAAGGTCCTGTGGCTTGTGGTCTACTTCATCTGCCTATATCCCTATGTTTAGGTGCTTAATTGACTGAATAGTTCTCTCTCTCTCTTCCTCCCATCTCTCCTTCCCCTTCCCTTTCTCCCTTTTATTCTCTCTCACTGTCTTTCTCTTTCTCTTTCCAGGTAGGTATGTTTCAAGTGTTTCTTTCTGGCTTCAATTGGGTGGGGAGTGGAGAGAGAATAAGACTTTTTATTTAAGCTTTGTGTTTCAGTTCTTACCATTTAATTCTTTGCTCTTAGACTTTGGGTTAGCTAGTAATTAAGAGCACACCAATTCTTATTCTGCTGGCTCAGTGTGCATGTACTGGACTTCATACACATTGGGAGATTGCTAGACTCACTTGCAGAATGGGCATCCCAACATTTACTATCTGGATGCCACCTCACTTACTATACCAGAAATTCATTTTTAACCCTCACACAGATCACCCCACTAACGTTATCAAAGGCAGAAATTTCAGTTCCAAGGCAAACTTGGAAGCTTTTTCTTCCCTCTGGTACGATAAATTGAGTCTGACCTGGCAAAGAGCTTTTTTTTTTCCTTTCTGCCCTCCCCAGACTGTGGTGATTAAGCAAACTCCGGGAAGCAGTGTCAGTGATCGGTACATTGAAATGTCTCATGGTTAAGTGTTTCTAGATGTAACTGTGAGATCCACAGGACCAGGGCACTCACCGGGAGAACTGCTCAGAAACTGGTTTGTGTTGAGCATCAGCGGCTGAATGCTGAGTGGAGCGCAGCTCTCTGAGGCACACAGTGCCCTCGGATGGCTCCCCTGGCTGGCAGTGCAGGAAGCAAGCAACTTCCTCTGTCCTTGCCCTGCCCTGAGCTGTGTTGTGTGCTGGGTGCAGACTTTAAAGGGTCAGGTTTAAAAGGTCTGGAGAGTATCTGCCCACTGCCCACTTCAAAGGCCCCAGCCCCAGGGCTGAAGCTGTGACATCAGCGCTTCTCTCTGAGCACAGCCCCAGCAGGCTTCTCCATAAGCGTGGACAAAGGGCAGCACTTCACAGAAGTTAGGTGACCTCCGCTGCCTAACTGTGCTTTGATCCCCACCCCCCAGTAGCTGGCTGGACTGTTGGGGGCAGTCTGTGGCCATGACAGGGACACGTTACTAGTTCAGCCCATTTAAACCCATCTTAGCCTTTCACAGCAGCTTCCAATCATTGACCTGTTTATTTTCTTATGTGTTCACTCAACAAACATACGGGAAGTATCTCCTGGGCTCTAAATACTAGACTAAGAGCTGTAAATATAAAGAAAACAGACAGTCCCAACTTTCAGGCTACTCACACTCTGGTGAGTTTTAAGTGCTCTGGGATGAGCGGGACACAGGAGTGTAGCAAAACATCAGTGTGGGTGCAGGAGCTGGTTGACAGCGTGAGAAGTGAGGGGCTGGGATGGAGCGGGGCTTGCCAAGTGCTAACCTGAAAGGGCGCTTATTATAGGAACTGACGGTTGGCCATGCATTGGTGAAGGAGGCTCCAGATCTGTGTAAAAGAACAGCTTATTTGGAAAACTGAGGATTTAGCAGAAGAACAAAGCAAGAATTGGGCTGGTTGGATGCAAGGGGGCTGGAGATGTGGCTGAGAAGGCAGGCACTGTCTGGCCTTGTACAAGGTTTGCTCTTCTGCTGAGGGTCTATTGAATGAAGAGTCCAGCGATGGACATCAGTCTCAATTCTTTAGAAAAACCTTCCTCCCTGCAGCATGGAGAATGAACGATATGTAGGTGAGACTGGATGTAGGACCCCATTCAGGAGGTAGTCATAGGAATCCAGGGAGAGAGGAATCGGCAGCCTTCAAGGAGGCAATGCCAT